CAAGGACAGTTTCAGAAACCGGATAAGACAAAAAGACCTAGGGTTTTCAACATGCTGAATCAAGTAGAAGGAAAGCATAACCAAGTCGTTTGAACATAGCAAAATCATAAACAGCATAAAATTAGAGAAGAGATCTATAAGAAAAAATTTAAAAGAAAACCCTAATCGTCGAAAAATGGAGAGTCATTTTGAAAGAAAATCGAAGAACCTTCGAGAAACACTTAAGAAGTTCGTAATAAGCACAGATCTAAGATAGATCTGAAAGAAAAATCGAACAGCTCTTAGAGCTAGGGTTTCAAAGAACCCAGAGAAAGTGAGAAAGGCTTTAAAAAATATTGATCTAGCCGTAAAAGTCAAAGATCTGACTTGAACAGCCATGGATGGCTGGAAAAGGACCAGAGATCGAAGTCGAGCAAGGACTAGACCAAATCTCTTCGAGATTTTCCCATGAAATCACACAAACGGGCCACCAGAAGATGTAAGAGGCCGGTATACATCTCAATCGGCCATGGGAGGCCATGGATTAGGTGGGGATTGAGGTGGATTAGGGTGAAATGGGGTGGCGGCGGCTAGGATTTATGTGAGGCTGCAGAGAGAATTGGGAGAAGAGGGATTCAAGGGCGGCGTTTGGTGAAAAGTGAATTAGGGTAAGGGGTCGTTTAGGTTTATTTTAGGAAGGGTGAACGGTGGCCGTTGATTTGAATGATCAACGGCCTGGATTAAAAGGGTAGGTGGGGAATCCGGTTTGGGTTGGGTTTAATTGAGTTGGGGTCGGGTTTAATTGAAATTGGGTTGGGGAAATTGGGTCTGATTTGGGGTTCAATTTAGGCTAGAATTTAAACACAAATGGGATGTTATTTAAATAGCCAATTTTCCCCTTTTTGAATTATAAAAAATAGTAAATAAATTTCTGGGAATAAATTGAAAGCACTAATATGATTTACAGCATGTAAATGACAATTTGAAAATATAGGGCTTAATTTTGTGAATATAAAACACAATTAAATTTTAAAAAGGCTAACATTGCAATTATAGGCAATTAACTTTAAAAAATACTAAATAAAATTGTAAAAATATGGAAAAAAATTACCTTAGCCATATTTTGGCATAAATATAAAGATCCAATAAATGAATCATCAAAAATAATAATTTTGGACATAATTATTGGGATTTTATGGATGAAAAAAGAAAATAAATCGATTTAAAAACCTTTAAAAATTATGAAAAAATAATAAAATATTTGGACATACTTATATATGCTTATATATATGCTATTTTGAAGTTATTTTGCATATTGAAAACATATAAGAAAAAATTGGGTGTCAACACATAGAATACTGTGTTGATGCAGCAAGGGCACCCAATAGCTTATATCAGTAGATCGCTAGAACCCAGACATCAAGCCATGTCTATCTATGACAGGGAGCTAGCTCTCATATTTGCTGTTACTAATGGTCACACTACCTCTTGGGAACACCATTCATTGTCAGGACTGATCAAAAAGCATTAAAGCACTTGTTGGAGCAACAAATTCACACTGACTTTCAAATAGCTGGCATTTCCAAGCATATGGCCTTTGATTTCTCTATAGAGTATAAAAAAGGAGCTAAGAATAAGGTTGTTGATGCATTGTCTAGGAAACCTGACTCTGAACTATTAGCTATTTCTTTACTATCTCGAAATAACTCCATGTATGATCAAATCAAAGCTACCTGGACTTTTGATACTTATTTGCAAGAGTTGATTACCAAATTGCAAACTCAGCATTTTAAGTCATTTACTTGGTGTAATGACCAGCTGAGATGGAAGGGTAGGCTGGTGGTTGGTGCTGAATAACAACTTAGAACACTTATTATTAGTTTGTGGCGTTCAACAACACAAGTTGGGCATTCTGGAATAGATCCTGCTTTAAAAAGGTTGCAATCCCTATTCTAGTGGAAGTCAATGGCTTCAGATATCATAGACTTCATCAACAAATGTGATGTGTCAAAGACATAAGTATGATGTTGCTGCCTCTCCTGGCTTATTGCAACCATTACCTGTTCCTAATGGGGTATGGACTGATATCTTTTTATATTTCATTGAAGGATTGCCTAGATCCCATGGTAAGGATTTCATTTTGGTTGTTGTTGATAGACTTAGAAAGTATGGTCATTTTTTGAGCCTACAGCATCCCTATACTGCCCAGACTGTGGCTCAGTCATTCTTGGACAATGTTTTCAAGCTACATGGGTGGCCTGCTACCATAACCAGTGATAGAAATCCAATCTTTCTCAGCAACTTTTGGCAAGAATTGTTTGCTATGCAAGGTGTTCAGCTGCAGAGATCAGCAGTATATCACCCTCAAACTGATGGCCAAACTGAAGTTTTAAACAAAACTTTAGAGACCTATCTGAGATATTTCTGTTCAGATAGCCCTCAGAACTAGCCTAAGTATCTACCATTAGATGAATGGTGGTATGATACTACCTACCATACTGCTATCAAATGCAGTCATTATGAGGTTTTATATGGCCAGAAACCACCTCTTCATCTTCCCTATCTAGCTGGTGAAGCTGTTTCAGAAATGGTCGGTAGATCCCTGGCTGCTCGAAAGGTAATCATCCATCTCATGAAGTTCCATCTATTGAGAGCACAGCAGAGAATGAGGGATCTAGCTAACAAACACAGGTCTGACAAAAACTTTGAAGTGGGAGACTAGGTTTATCTTAAGCTACAATCCTATAGGCAGGTGTCTATTGCTACTAGACTATTCAACAAGCTTGCTGCTAAGTATTATGGCCCTTATCCTATTGATGCTAAGATTGGAGTTGTTGCTTACAAATTGCTCCTTCCTGCTGATGTTCTGAATCATCCTACTTTCCATGTCTTTGAATTGAAGAAATGCCATGAAGTTCCTACCAACAACAATCACCCTCATGTATTCCATCTCTCTAGTCCTTACTGTCCATTAACTGAAGAAGTGTTAGCTAGGAGGATGGTGAAGAGACGCAATAAAGCTGTAGCACAATTGCTGGTCAAATGGACAGACATTCATGCCTCTCAAGCTACTTGGGAATATGTCTCTGACCTGCAAAATCGATTCCCTTTCTTTCAGTCTTGAGGACAAGATTGTGCTTTTGTAAGGAGTATTGTTGCAATGTTTAGTAGTAATGAATGTAACTAGCTTCATTTTATAAATCTTAGCTAAGGTGAGCTGATGTGGCAGCTAGTTGGAAGATTCCGGAAATTAGTTAGAAGCAGTTAGGAAGTTAGTTGTTGTTAAAAGTTAGTTATATGAGCGAAAAAGAGAAAGCGTCAAATTAGTTGCATATAAAGATCTCATTGTACACATTTGGATCTCACTCATGAAATAACATTCTTCTTCTTCTCTAATATGTTCTTCTCTTAGCTAACATCTCAGTTGATACCCCGATCTGGCCTAATTGTTCTTCGAAATTCTTTATTTCCTAGAACTGTTGACACTCCATTGCATTGTGTGCATCATATATATTGGGTTAATTATTAAATCTAAGTAAGTTTATTTAAATAAAAATCCAATATTATTGTGCCAGCCTATTTAGATGGATATTATTGTGCTAGCCTATTTAGATGGTTTTCTCCTAACTAGGTCGACCTATAAAGACTAAGCCCATGGCCCATGGCCCATAAGCCTTTCTTAGAGGCTAGTCGACCCCCACAACTATATAAAGGGGTCACTTCTGTCACTTCTCTCATTTGTGAAGAAGAAAAGTGGAGGACTAACAAAAAGATACAAGAGAGCTCGTGGATTAAATGTCACAATTCTCTAAAAATTGAATGTGTTTAGACATTCAAGCATTTCAACAAAAATTTCAAGTATTCAAGATCAAGAACGAAGTTAAATCAAATACAAAAAGTTAAAGATCAAGGCTACTTGTCCGTGATAGAGTTCGTGGCAACCATCAAGATATTATCTTAGAAAAGAAATATCAGAGGATTCATAGAGATTATAACGCTCATATTATCTGAAGTAAAATACTATGATTATTGCAATATTTTTCAATCCCGCTTAATTTCTTGATACAAATTTTATTGTTTACAATTGCTACACACGATAATTGTATGCCAATGTATAAGGAGATGATGGAATTTTTTTATTAAGGAGCTAGAAAATGAAATAGAATGTGATTGTGAAACATGAGTTAGACCACAAAAAAATGTGCTAGTTGGTACGACGATCTAAGTAGGCCAAAAATGCAAAGCTACACATTAGCACCAAAGATGGATCGTAAGTTTGATATGATAGCTCAAAGAGAATGAATGCTCTTATGTTTACTAGCTACATGAGTTTTTGCATCTATCTCTACACGCTATATGTACTTGGATCATTACCAACTGCAACGTGCAATTTTCCATAATTTTCATCCCAAGGGAACATAAACAAGAGGAATTGGCTAAGACGTAAGCTCTCTCTACCTATAACGATTAGTCACATAAGGATAAGAAGGGACCCTATTTTCTATCAAAAATATTTTTAGAGAAATAAAATTCTCAAAAGTTTCAACGGAACATAATAACGAAATCTTTCTATAAATAGTTAAAGTTTAAATATGAATTTGGATCATTACATCCTTTCAAAAAACAAATCTAGGCAAAAGCTGTTGGAATGCAGGGAATAAATAGAAGGTAAAAACTTATCCATGGCACCAAATCATGCTAATTTATATTGATTAAATGATAAATTGAAATAAACATATGGACAATTAACTAGAGTTTAGGATAATAGTATATGTAAAATCATGTGCCATATATTCATAGGATTGATATAAACATTCTGTGCTAATAAATTAAAAACATGATAACAAAATAAAACAAAGCTAAAAAGAAATACTGGCCTGATACATAAAGCGGACAAAATAAATTAACCATCTATACCATTTCTGTAAAATCGCGACGAATTGGAGGGTATATCTGTAATAAAGAAAATCTCCATTCCCGCCATTCGCTACTCTCCTCTTCCATGCACAAAACAGAATTTACAACTCCAACAAACTTACACTCAATTAAAATCATCCACTAATCTGTTACTCAACAACTCACATAACCGTTTCTCTCTCCTCTCTCTTTCTCTCTAGAACAATGGCCGACGTACTCTTCCTAGTCTCTGTTCTACTACTCGCCGCCGCCGACAGTACAACTTCGGCACTGCCGTCAACACCACCGCCGTCTTCCGGCTGCGCTGACGAACTAGTGGCGTTCTCTCCATGCCTTCCCTTCATTTCCGGCTCCCCGAACAACATCTCCGATTCGCCTCCGGTTCAGTGTTGCGATAACTTCGCGGCAGCGTTTGATGATAATACCGCGATTTGTCTTTGTTACCTCGTTCATAACCCTCAGATCCTTGGATTCCCTATCAATTCAACGAAGCTGATGTCGCTAGCTTCTGTTTGTCCTGTTAAGAAGAAAGAAGTCGAGGAGAATTTATCTCTTGAATCTCTCTGTTCAGGTAATTTTGCTTCCGATTTCACGCTTGTTTACGTACATTTTCTGTGATTGCACATGAATCTTCTAGAAGTATCAAGAACTTTTCGTTATGGACTGATGGTGACATTATACTTGGAAGTAAATGTGTTAATTACTCGGGTCTATAGTTTGAATTAGTTGCTCTGTTTCAAAATGTTTGATGCTTCCGTCTCAGATGTTCAGGCTAATTGTATTTAAAAATGTATATTTAATGTTTAATCATTTTGATATGAGGAGAATTCTAGCTTATGTAATCGTGTAGTTTGTAAATACTTATCTAAACTTTAATTTTAAAAATGATTCAATTTAGGTCAATTTAGTTCTAACAGTTGATCAAAACTGGATAGATGAGATTATGAGAAGTGCCAATATGGGACAATAGAGAACTATATTACCTATGCTAGAGTTTTTGTTGTTTCTTTAATTTGAGGGGGAAAAAAGGAAAATACTGGTTCTTCTTTAAGCAGCAGTAATTTAATTACACTTTATAGATTTAGGCATATATATATAGTTCAGAATGTGCTGCTTACGTAAGCATTTTCCTAATTAATACATGCATTTTAGATTTGGAAGATTTGCTACATACCTTGTGATGCAGTCGATACAAACGAAGACTTATATAGCATGGTATAATGCATATGATAGTATTAATTACTAAGGTAAATTGATAAACCTTACGTAGAAAGCACATGTTACGTATGCATCATTTGCGAGTAAATATATCCACTTAGTGGATCATGATTCCACAGTTGCATTAACTTAAAACAGTTGTAACTTTCCCATATATGAGTAGTCCATCTGCAGTATTACATAGATAGTTCCAAACTGAGCGCTATTCCAGGAACCATTGCCTTAACCAGTTAACCACTTTCTCTATTGCCCATTTTGTTTGCTAATTTTACACTTGAGTTTCATTCACCACTTACGTTATTCTGGACTCCTTTAGGGGTAAATATATGAATTGTAGTATACTTCTAAGAGTTCAGTATACTCATGTTAATCTATTCGACACAAATATGTTAAAGACAAATGAAAAATTACATATATAGTTCACTACACAGAAGATTTTACATTCAAAGATTAGCCATTTCAATCAGTACACAATATCTCTCGACAGAAAAATGCTTACTATTTTTGTTTCCGTGACTCAGGATCAACTATGCTGCCTCCTTTTCGGGCGATAACAGGTAATTTTCCTTTGATCTTTTGCTATTACCAAACTGGTGATGCTATACTTATTCACAATATCCTGATCACTTCATTGTGTAAAAATTTCTAGCAGATCACAGGGGTTCAAGTTCGCGTCCAAGGCGTCCTAGCCCTAGCCCTAGCCCTAGCCCTAGCCCAAGTCCTAGGCCTACACCACGCATTCCACACCCAAGTAAGCTACACCAATTTGAACTGATATTTATATCTTCTGTTTCTTTTAATGTTTATAACTTTGACATACCAACTGTTCCCTTCAATTTTCATGAATACCTTGCTACCACATTTAGGGGCACTACTGTATCTCTAATCACATTCATAAATTGATAAAGCCACAAACTGCATTTCTAGAAGCTTAGATAGAAAACTACGACTACTAGCTTCCAATATGGACGGAAAATGAATTTTGAAGGGGGGAAGTTGAGTTTATACTAGAAAAATGAATTATCACTTTATTGCAGGTGATCATGATAACCCTTCACCGCAAGAACCACCAGGACAAGGCAATTCATCACCACCATTCTCTGATGTTGATGATAATCCTTCCCCTGCTGCTCAGGCCACACCATCATGTGCATCAACCATAGCCATACGAATACTGAGTTACCATATAGGGTTTCTCATTCCAATATTGATTTCCCTGTTTTTCTCTGAATGTGGTGATAGTCCTTCTCGTGCTGCTCAGGACACACCATCATGTGTATCAATCATAGCCAAAGGAATAATGGTATGGAATTACTATCTCTGTGGTCTCTCTGCCATAATATTCACTCTCCGGTATTTCTCTCGCAAGAACACAACTTAGGTGTTACTGTCTGTTTCATGGCTTCAAAAACAGATAGGTCAACATATTAATAACTCCTTCTAAAGTGTAAGCATCAGATTGGATTCTGAAAAACACCTATTGTGTGTGAGGCTTGGAAGCCTAGTAGTTTCAATCTGACCTCCAAAAAGGCAAAACAGATGTTGCCAGCTTTATCTGTACTGGAGTTATTTCCACTCATTCTGGTGCATAATCTGAGTATTAATCTTGTATTGCAGTTTTCATATACCATTAGTATGTAGTTGGCTGGTTTATATGCAATTGCAATAGAATTTTGAGTTCATTATATGTCATCTCAATATATAGTTCACAGGCTTTAATTTGTTGGCGTTTTTGCAGGATCGGTGCGATGATCTAAAAATGCCTTTATGTATCTACGCACTCTTAAATATGCTTTTAGCATATGCTCAATTTAGAAAATACATCACTTTGGCCTGATAAACAACACATATTTTTTCGTTACTTTGTGCTTTTGTGCACTTAATATTTGTTCTCAGCTAGAGGAATTTATCAAATATCTGCTCATTGACAATAAGGGAGTTGGACAAGTTAGAATTATTAGTTTGAAGGAAAATGAAAAATCTAGTCTTACTAGCTACAGCCATTCATTCTATTAACTCGTATTGCTCTTGTTCGGTTATTAGCTTTCAGCTGATCAGTTGGTGTCAACATTTACTGAATGCGATAAATTTACATGTCATAAGGACTAGAATTAGATGAAATATATGTGTACGTTGCTCTTTCTTTTTTTCCTTTCCTACAGCCGTTAGGGGAGGCCGGAGAAAGGGGGGGGGGGGGGGGTTTTGTCGAGTGTTTATCCATTTAATATATGACTTATCGAAAGTACTTCTATATTTACTTTAAGCTCTCTCTTGTTCTTCTTTCTAAATTTGGGCTATAAAAAGGATATTCCATTAACAATTGAATAAAACAATTAAAACTTCCAAAAAGGTGAAAATAATTTATTTTTTTCTTGGGTTATATATAGTACTAGTTTTACGATACGCGCGATGCGCGTGTATTATATCAATGTATAAAATTTTAAAAACTACATAAAAATATTATTAAAATTAGGTTTGAGTTATAAAATAAAATTTAAAAATCTAAGCTCTTAAAAATGGCGAATATTAATCCTATTTAGTCAATAAAATAGTTGATCGCCTAATTAAGCATGATAACTACGTAACCAAGATATATTTAAAAGCTTAGTGATAATATATTATGTATCCGGCCCCTTGTTTTGTTTTTGTTTTTGTTTTGTATCAATAAGATCGTCTAGATACTATGTACTCTAGAGACGTTAATTATAAAAAGAAAAAGAATCAGTGACAAACAAATTTTAGACTTACATTATAAAAATTCGTCGTTAATCCTATTTAATGACGGCATATCATCCAAATTTCTATTATCCAAGATGAATTTTGTAGCTAATTCCTATTTTTTGTAAAATTATGTAATAAATTTCTTAGTAAAATATTAATTTCGTTTTTACCAAAAGACAATGTCATTTTTCATGTATTTAACGGGAGTAAGCATTAAATTTTAAGTGATATTTCTAACTTGGTTATGTTTCCTCCTCAACAAGTAATAAATTAAATTTTTATCACTAATAAATGATTACTATTTTTTTCAAGTATAATTACTATTTTTAATTCTTTCTAGCATGTCGTTTTTAAGAGTAGAAAAGAAACGAATTAGACAGCCAAGCTTCTAAGGAATACTTATTATTAAAATCATAAGAACAACAAACTGTTCATATGAATGGATTAAAGAGGCAAAATAGGTCCGGTATAAATAAATACAAATCATAAAGAACAAAAGATTTGCACAGAATGGCGAGTTCGTTGTTGGAAAAAAAAACTTTTCGCCTAATTTTTTGCATTCGTTTTTATTTTATTAATATTTCGTGCAGCCTTATTAGGAAAATATCTCCAATACAGAGTTATATTCGGAACAAATTTATTTGATTTCAAACTCCTAAATATTAGGTAGTTTGATGATTTTACAATGTTATCCAATGTAAAATATATTTTTAAAGAGTATAAAAGGCGAACGACATTTCGCTAATGGCCTTCGTGCTTTTAATATAGTGCTAGTCTCTATACTCGTACGTTGCACGAATACTTTAACTCAAATATCACATAATTTGTACGAAAGATATTAAAAATTTAATTGCATAGGTACTCTAATAGTAACATTTGTTAGAGAAATAAAATAGAACTAAATCATGTAAAAAGAGTTACTCACAAGTATAATAATCAATCAATATTTTCAAATTATTTTGATCAGTCTATATCTTGATCTGAAGATTCGTGCTTTAATAACTAAGAAGAAAGGTAATTAGCCACGTTCTTAATATGCTTAATTAAATACTACAATTAATTCCATAAATCAAACCTACAATTGAATGAATGATGGTGTACCTTATTACACGAAAAAAAAAACATAGAAAGTTATGTCAATGAATGTACTGCAAACGTAAAACAAAATGACTTCATCAGAAAACAAACGACTTTAGACAAAAGAAGAAGAAGTTAAACCTCAATATATATGCTATTTATGTGATCAATTACACAAGAGAAAGTATTCTTACTCTTAGTATGTTTTGAGGTTTAGGACGACATGTAATTATAGCACAAGCGCATGATTTAACCAAGTTTATAGGAGTTTACGGTCGGTGCTGTATATTTGATTCATATTATAAGTAGAACTAAAATTGTAGAGTTGTAGTTTAAATCGGAAAAGTAAATAGAACCAAAGCTATAGTTTAAATGAAAAAGAATTGTATCTTTCAATAATATATATTTTGAATATTACTACTACGTCCACGTTTAACTTGCTTCATTAAACATATATTTTATTTATTTGGGCATAAAAGTCAATCAATATTTCAGGAATAGTTTTATCTTTCAACATTTAGAACATTTGTGCTTTTATAATAAACTAGTCTCTATGTACGTGCTTCACACGTAAATTTTTAGTCAATAATTTACATAGAGGAGCCAAAAATTAAACTTAAGGAAAATTATATACAAGAAATAAGTTTGTTTGAAGATATAATTTTTCTAAGAAGTTTGAAGTTAAGTTTGTTTGAAGATATAATTTTTTTAGTAAGTTTGAAGTTTTTTCAGTCCATTATTTGTTTTTTAAAATAAAATTTTATTTTCTATTATGTTTTTCAATTTTTAAACAAAATTTTTGAACCAAAAGAAGCAATTTTTGAAGATATGGTTGTAAGTCATTTAAACAATCCACCTCAATTTACAATAAATTGAGTAATTACATATACACATTATAACCTCTAGGGTTTTCATCTAGCAATTTAACTACAGTCAAATTGAGATAAACTCAATCGTAATAAATAATAAATAACATCACATTATCAACAAAACTCAAAGACATTAGAAGACAAAAGGAAAAACAATACTCTATGTATAAAACCCTATTAATATTTTTGCATCGATTCAAAGTATATATATATATAAGTTTAAAGTTATATACAGTCAATTGAAAAATAAAAAGAGTAATTCAGAACAAAAACCAATCCAACATTCATTCAATAAAGAAGGAAGTACTTGGAAGTAAAAACATTATCAAAGGTGCTTATTTAAACAACTCTTTGTCCTTAGCATGGCACCTATGTTGGTTTCTTTCTCAAATCTAGGTCCTCTTTTTTTTCTGAATTTTTTGTGTACTTTTAAATACAACAAATCTGTTTCCTTACAATTTCAAGTTGTATTCGAGGTCGATCTCTATGTCTTGCTTACATTCTCTTACTATGATTTACCCAAGAAAGTGATTTTTTTATCATTCTACTCGTCTAGACCTATGAATCATACAGTCGCCAACGTTTTCCATGCTAACCCCATAAATAATAGGAGAACTTTGATTTTCTTTAACGATGATATTAAATAAGACTTCTACTCATAAGAATAGAGGTAAGAGTTGTTAAAATCCCTTTCGTACTTGTAGAGTTGGTATGCTTGTAGAATTTCGAGTTCGAGGTAGGACATGATATCCCAAATAACTGAATTATTGGAATTCGATAAAGATTAGAAGTCTATGTAATTAAATTCATATTAGGTAAGGTTTTACATAATATAATTTTATCTAACATGAAATTATTTTGTGAAGAAATAATTTATCTTTTGAAGGATATAAAAATCAGTGATATATTGAGGATATTTTTGTCGATCAAGTGTTTTTAATATTGTGATTTTATAATAATAATAATAAAAATTATACATTAAAAGGTAAATTTTAACCCAATTATGTAGCACATAAATAAAGTATACAGAAAGTTACCACACAATTATTACGAATCAAATATTGCATGATCGCAGAAATTTTACACGACTACTTATGAATTAATCAAAATTAAAAATTATATTAAATAAAATAAAAGTTAATAGGTTAGATAAACTTTATTAGTCAAAGAAAGTGAATCGGAGAAATTAGAGTGGAGACAGTTGCAACTTGAATTGGGAACGGCTTCAAACTCATAAGGAATTGCCCCAAATTCAAGTAGGCAGAAGTTTAGCTGAATTCAGAGTTCGAAATATTTGGTTAAATTGAATTTACAATTTTATCCAATATGGATTGTCTCTTTGAATGAATTTAGCCCTGTAAGGGCATAATAGTCTATCAATATTTTGGGATATTTTTATCGTCACATTTAGCGTGAAACATTCGTGCTTTTATAATAATAAATAGATAGATAGATAGATATAGATAGATATATAGATATAGATATAGATAAAGATAGAGATAGATTATTTGATCGTTTTCCAGAAATAACGTAAGATGGGTATGTAAACTAGAAATTTTACAGATTACGCCATCTCTTACCCCTTAATATGGCAGATATTCTTAATAAATGACAAACTGTTATAAAATAATAAAAGAAGAAGAAGAGTATTGCAGAGAAAAGTAGAGGGAGAGAATTCTTATTGATTTGTGATGAATTACAATGGAATAGAACCCTCTATTTATAGGGAGACGGTGACTTAGCCACCAAGTAATAAGCCCTAGAATCTCTCTAAATATAGACATTCACCATAAATACAATTCTATTTATAACACTCCCCCTTGAATGTCTATTCAACAGATAATGTGCCTCCTTAAAACCTTAACTAAAATAAAACTCAGTGGGAAAAAAATTCTAGAGAAGGAAAAAGAGTACACATGTTTAGAAATACGCCTTTTGGTTGCCTCATTAAAAACCTTGCAAGGAAAACCCAGTGGGACAAAACCTTGTAAGGGAAAAAGAGTACAACGCATATTAACTCTCCCTGATGAGAGCATCAATTCACATCTTTAAGCATTTGCATTCCAATCTTGTGCACCATCTTCAAAAAATCTCTTGAACGAATTTATTTCACCTTGAAATCATCATTCCTAACAGATGTATTGTCTTCATATGATCTTGTTGGAATCGTTAGTTCAATATCTTCACATAGAGGTGAAAACTCTTGCTATCATATTATCATGCATATAGTTATAGCAAGATACATTTATGCACAAATTGCACTGATGAAGTGGTACTTCAAGATCAAGAATTGTATATGCTTCAAGCAACTGAAATCCTTCAGGATTGTCATATAAGTTAAGTCATATAAATAGACTTTAGATTTGTATCAAGTTTTCATGTCATGCCAGACATATAAGATACATAAGGTGATAGCACACACCATTGTCTTTATACTTTTAAGTGTGAACTACAGATCCAAAACTACTTGTCATTCATATGAAACCAAATTCCACTTGAATTGTTTCGCCAGACTTAAGATCCTCATATATATTTAGCGCTATCATAGATGTCGTCGGCAAACATTTTATATCAGTTTCAATATATTTTCATAATGACATAACATAGAGATCTCTTCATTCATATATTCAGGTACCTGAATCTCTCATGAGATTTTATGAAGTGTTATGTCATGTGATCTTCTAGATCACTTGCCTCCTTTATTATGATCATTTTGATCATTTGCTCATCTTCTTTATCAAGAAGTTTATTTGAAACCGATTGTCTATACGCTTTAAGCGTACCATAGACTTTGTCCTTCTAGGACTTAATAGGAGCATTTGCAATGAGAATATAGTTACTTTCTTTGGGTCAGCAAATGCGTCTGGCATGCTTTGCAATATATTGCAAATGAATTATCCTTTTATGAACTTCAAGTTCATATTATCTTATTCGAGGATCTAGATGTACAAATGATAATTCATTCCACGTAACTTTTTCTCAACTGTTTATCATGTTTCCCCCTCATGTTAGAAAAACTAACTTGTTTCCTCAACTTTGAGAACCCATCTTTGTGCGTTATGGTGTTAATCAAAATATACACCGCACATCAATAATAATAAGATAAATTATTTGGTTCCTGACCCTGAACCACTTGTGAGGGGAGAAAATAATATACTTTCGTATATAACGTATATCAAACTGATATAGATAACTTTGTTCTCATAAGCAATAGTTTAGCTATTAAGTGGAGGCACTCAATAAATCATTTTGCTAAACCAACTGTGATGTAAAGCAACTTATCAAGATGAACTATCTTGAATAAAAAATCTGGAAATTATGCTCTAAATTAAATTATTGAGCAAGTTACCTCGCAAACACCATGTTGCGGGTTAATAATAATCGCACATGTAACCATCTCATAGATGCATCTTATGTGGTATACATGGCAGGTGAATGGGCCCATATTCACCTTTGATATTTCCAGCATTCATGGGATTCAATCCCAATTTTAATTGGTCTATTAATTAATGAGAACAAGCAATGTAAGAGAATTCGTAAAGAACTTTCTAGTTCTTTAATATTTACCCATGTGAATTCTCTTTTATTTTTGCACATCATACTTGAATTAACATGGCTAAACCAATTATGCCAACTGGATAAATTATCAATATTGATAAACTTCAGGTTTACACCATGATGTGTGCAATTATGAATAAACTCCAAGTTTATTATGATATGAGTTTTTATATCAATAAATATCCACTTCATTGTGGTATTCTTTTGTTTATGTAGTACAAATTGGAGAATAAAGCGGGTAGCTTTTCACATACATATTACCCCGCTACAAGTTGTAGTAATAGAAGATATTAAATCTTTCCTTTATTTATAGTCTCAATATAATCAACCGCTTTCGCGTATACTTTGGAAACTGAATAAGTTTCTTTGAGACTTACTACAACACAATACCTTATTGGTAATTAATTGTGTTTCTCCAAAATAGTATAATTGGCTCTTGCAGAGTTCTCAATTAATTTTGTAGTACCACATATTCATCAACACCCATATGGTGAATATCTCTTTTAAAGAGAAAGTTATACCATTATGGTTATGGTCAAAATTATATGCAAGATCTGTTTCTTGCATTACCGTTGTCTTTTAACAATCACAATGCCAAAATATTTTGGCGTACAATAGGTACGTGACCAATGACCATTCATGCCATAATAATGACATTATTTTCTTATATCATCTCAAACCTCCTTTTAGAGGTGAGTGCGGTATATTCACTACCACTAGCACGTTCATATTCTTTGAAGAATGAATATGTATTCATAAATCAGATGTTGTCACATTCACATCATGAATGGACCATAATCATCTGTATGTGCTTTACGAAATCTTATGTCAAATCGATGACAAATATTTTCACAAGTGGGGGATTATTTTGAGAATCCTTATTATTCTCATTACCACGATAATGACGATTATAATTTCGTCTATTGCCACGTCCATATCCATTGATACATTCATAGTAATAATTTTGTCTTCTTTCAGACTTATCACATACTGCTATCACATTCTCTTAAGGGAATGAGAATGGAGCAAATTCAGTGGGACGGGTTTCCACTTTTTGTGCCCATAATCATACATGAATTTGATCATGGCAAGACATAGAAATTTTTACCACTTTAGGTGGTTATAATTTCTTACAAACTCCATTAGAGTTATAATCAAACTTTGTTGTCTTTGCTTGTATATAACATCAAATTATAGAATTTCAAGAATTTAAAAGAGAAAAATAAAGTAAAATACTTACCTTAAATCCAGAATTTAATCATGAAGGAAGTTCATGGAATAATTGACAATCATTATGCTCAATCCCAAAGCTTCTACTCAATAGGTTAGAGTCTCGTGCTGATAACGTGTTATAAAATAATAAAAGAAGAAGAAGAGTATTGCAGAGAAAAGTAGAGGGAGAGAATTCTTATTGATTTGTGATGAATTACAATGGAATAGAACCCTTTATTTATAGGGAGATGGTGACTTAGCCACCAAGTAATAAGCCCTAGAATCTCTCTAAATATAGACATTCACCATAAATAGAACTCTATTTATAACACAAACACTTTTATTACTTTGCCCTTTTATTTGTTTCCATTATTCTAGGAGGACTTTTTTGGTCTGTCACTCAAGTTGGTGTAGGAACTGGGAAACGTTTTCTTTCTTCCAATCAACACTGCCTTTAAGTTGAAGACAATATACCGTCCGCGCCCCGAAGTTTGAGAGGGTAAAATTAAGCCACCCTTTAACATATTCAGAATGTTAAATCTGGCAAGGTTATTCTAGAAAAAGATGGCCTGATTAGCTCCAAAATGATCCATAAGAAAGCCTCAGAATCTATGTGAAGCAGCTTCCAGCAAACCTACCTCCCAACTTTCTCTTTTAGCATAATAACTTCTCCCATTATTCACTTGAAGCTCTTACAGTTTATTTGAAACTTATCCTCCAACACAATCCACATGCTTAATCGAGTCTTTTTAACCAACAGCCTCACTAAAACTAACTCTATTTTGGTCTGAAGCTTATTGGTGACCCCTGTATTACCGCTATTTTCATACAAATGAATGAAGAGACACATGCTAGCATAAAACAAGTGATAGTTGAAACATAAGAAAGTCTCACATCACCAGCTTTCCATCAACCTGGAACTTGAAATAATTAAAACTAAATTCCTTACTACAACTGGTGTATCGATCAAACAACGAACACTTGTAGCATCAGATATTTTGGCGGTTATAATGACTGAAGTTTTTCCCATCACATAAGATTCATATGCTTAAAGAGTAAACATAACAACCAAAAGCAGAGCTTCAAGAGTCGGAAACAGGGGCATCTTTGACAGACTGGCGCCAAGCATATTCCCTAGCTCCATCCTTGTCGACAATTTTAATCACAAAGTTTGGTGGGGCAACCACCAACCTAGATCGGATCTCCATGATGCACTTATCTGCTAAATCAACAGCTTCTTCAACTGTCATGTCCTTCCGGTAGTGCCTATCCATCATGGCGAGAGAGAAATAGGAGCCATAACCAAATGCTGCCTTATCCACTTTGTGAAGAGTAGCGATATAATCAACGTAATAAAGAGAAGGGCCTGTCTCTTTGTCATAGCCAGCCAGGATAATGTTCACCATGTAAGGATTCTACAAAAACAACATTGCAGTAACCCAATGTGTAGCAGATAACCAATTGCACATAAAAATTCTGAAAACTAGCGCTTGAAAGAATGACGACTTTTCAAGGATAAAAACAGACAGGAAGGTTTCTTTCCCCAACATCCTCTCCATAATAAGATCAAAACCAAGGAATTCAAAGTAAATGATAAGGGACAATAAGGGCGAAAACTGGCCAAGACACACTACATTTTTTTTGAAAAAGCTTCATATGTCAAACAGAAGAGTGTGACACCTTGGTTCCATTGTCATAAATCTGATCATGCTTATAAAGAGAGATGGTAGGAAAGATCAATGGTGCACCCATTTAGGTGGACCCTAACAGGTGTATAAATATAAGTATTAACACACAGTAGCAACTAAAGAATGCAGCGGAGAATGGATTTATTGGCTTTAGTATTTCACCAGTTCATTACAGTTTCTTGAAAAAGACAAAAAAACAAATTATGAGAATCTTGCACATTTTCTTTTATCTACAGCTACACTGCTGCCCAGATTCGGCTTTATTTTGCTTCTCTACTCTGTAACCAAAAGATTAAGTAATATCATTTGTGTGATACTATCAATACTCTTACCATGTAAAGTAAAATCTGAAATCAATCTATTTGTGCCAAAAATTCCTTCTAGCTACAGTTCTTGCTGTCTCAGAACATGCCACATAGAAGCTGCCCATTAAAATATGATTAGTTCTTTCCCTGTGGGGGAAGCCAGGTTCCTTGGTGATAGAGCTTGTCAAAACTGTGTCTTTGCTATCACCATTCTCCCTTTATTATTATTTGGTTTTCCACATATCAGACTTCACTATTTGGTATGTAAGATCTCTTCCTAATCAAAACTATGTCTCATAAGCGGGATTGAAGGAGAAATACAAATTAGTATTTCCTAATACGACGTTGTTTCCCTTCTCTTTTTTCTTTCTTTCCTTTTCATTTTAGATTCTAACGCAAGACTAGGTTGTATCGTGAAGCAAAGCTCTCTTGTCTAATCCTCTTCTCAATTCAACATAAACTCAAAGTCATTATTATTTTCATTTTCCCATTAAGTAATTGTATATAATTGAGTTTTAAACAATAGGTGTCTTGGCTTTAAGCATTCTAGAATCTTAACTAGAAGTTTAAAAAGATAGGGTGCTAATGCATTTAAACAGTTCTTTTTCTTCTCTTCTCTTGAGGTGTTTCATCTATTCCATGGTTTTTGTTATCTTTTTACAGGAAACACATCTATACTGATGGGTCAAAAACTTGGGGATAATTTGATGAAACTCTACATAATGCTGAAGCATTAGAGGAGCAAGAATCTGTATTTTGTTATCCCCGAGACTTTAAGCAGGAGAAATAATTTGATTACAATGTTTGCTTTCCATAAAGCACTATGTGACAGTAATGTACCAGAGGAATACATAAAATGAATTTTCTTGCAACATTTAGCAATGGTGATGTCTGTGCCATAAATTGATTCCACTGTCTCCCATACTAAAGTACCTTTTAATTGCACATATACGTTTTTCTGAATGATGTTCATATGGATATCTACATGATAGTGGTGTGTAATTTGTTAGGTAATGTGGGTTCAAAGATGTCCTAATGAATACAAGTGATTCTTCTCCTGTTAACAGATCCTATTCAAGATTTTTTCCCGAACAGGTGATCCAATTCAAGATTTTAAATGGGTGAATGACTATCTGCCCACATCTTCCTCATATGCATGCTTCCTCTTAATGGTGGCCAATTCTTAACGACTTCATTTCCAACTGTAATAACACTTTAACCGTAGTCAGTACTCAAGTTGGAGCAAACCCCCTCCCCCTCCTTGTCCAACTTAATTTAGATGGTTGTTCTAAGGTTAATTCGGTTTGAAGTGGCGGTGGAGAAACCAGCGCAAGCCGTATGGCATCATATCCTAGGCCTATTTATACTAGTCATAAAAAGAGAGCAAGGTGGTTTCAGTGTAAATGGTTTTGAAGCACGTCACTATTCATTTCATCATACTTCATAACTACGAGATTAACAAGAATACATGGAGGCCATAGAGCTGATTTACACTAAATGGGAGGCACTTCATTTTACCCGAGTTTCTCACTATCCATCAGCGCCACTTTGTATTTCTGTTCTTTCCCAATTAATCATATTGTTCAAAAGATCTGTTCTTTCCCAATTAATCATATTGTTCAAAAGAAACAATGAAGTTAAGTGAAATCAAATAGGATTTCTGGTGCCTGCCTGAATGGAAACAATTTAAATATTTAGATTCTATCTTTCAGGAGTGCCACAACATATCCTATGGCCTACAGGACTATACCTACCAAAGCGACAAGGCAAATTATATAGAATGCTGCAAGAGTAGCAATGTCAAATGAAAATGAATACTAGCGCTTACCAAATCCACAAAGAAATGATAAGTTGGATGTGATTTATATAAGATTAGACAAAACTTCTGAGAATTATAAGATTAGGAAAAATTAGACAAGATTTTTAATATTTTATATTATACATAAGAGGTAGGAAAAGGGAAATGTGGAGCGGATTAGAAGATGGGAATTGAACCCTCACCAACAAGGTGAAGTTCAGGTAGCCAGCCAAACTAAAACTCCCCAAATTAGAAAAGATTAAAAATGATTCCCATGCGACAGAGGGTTCAAAGGGCACATATAGAGGATAAAAAGAGAAACGGTCACTTGAGATAATTTGGTCATGTTTTATGTAAACCTACAAATGCACCAGTATGCAGGTATGATACAATGATGATTGAAGGTGCAAAAAGAGGACCTAAACCTAAAATCATATAGAGGGAAGTTCTCCGAGAGGACCTAAATTTTCTCTACAATCTCTCTAGATCCCTATTGGTTTAGCTAAGAATGGACACAACGGAAGCAAATGATCAGTGTAGATGATCCCAATTAGTTGGAGTACGACTTAATGGTTGATACCTACACTAAATCTCATACTTGCCAGAATCTGTTTAGTTTGCTAAAGGATTTGTATGTCAGTGCAGGAATAAGTGTGAGACCTAGAGAAACTCTAATTTTAGATAACCCTTACTTTGTCTTAAAAGACAAATTACTGCGTATTAAAATAAAGTGGGCCCCAATAGAGCAAAATCAATGTAGAGAATTCATAAGCCAGCCTCAATTAGTTAAAAAATTAGTTTGGAACTGAAGCTTAGGTGATTGACCCATCACTATCTTTTAGCAACAATATATATTGAGCAGACAGACAAGTCCGTGCCATGAAATCAAGTTAAACTCACAATGATTTTTGCAAACAGCCTGTTTTACTTCTATAACCGTGACCTACAACTACAAGTCATCAAGGAAGCAACTCTAACATTGCACCAAAACTTGCCCTCTATATCTTCACTGGTAAACGCACTTATACTACAGCTGAGCAAGAGATTTATGTTGGGATCAGAAAGGTTCCTCAATGTTGTTTATCATGCAATTATACCCAAAACTGACAGATGGCTATATAGTAGAGGTTATACTAAGTTCTAGAAAAGGAAGTTTCTCTACTTCCTGGAACTTAAATTCTGGCCCCTACTTCCTGGAACATAAATTTTATCAATTTCCAGATTCTGAATGGTCCTTTAGTTGTTTAACTTTCTTCCTTTTATTTTTTTTGGGATGATAACTGAACAGCAAGTTGTGTAAATCTGAGGGAAGACCTCCAGTTAACATTGTCACCATAGAAGCTAACACAAGAAGACAGAACTTTACAAAATTTAGGAGTGCAATCAAAGATAACGATCTTCATGGTGAAGCTAATGCATACACAAAATGGAGAGAATTCAACTACATTAAATGACATTAAGTGATGATGTACTAAATTGTTACTGCTGCAGACACTTTGAAACACAATGGTTGATAATATGGCAAGACTCAAAAATGCTACAACAGGAAATGGCACCAGAAGTGTCAAACTTGTGCCATTACCAACAGTATGTTATGCCCTGATAAATATGTAGTATGCAACGGCTTAGACACAACAACAGCGACTCACTATTAGATATAGCAGACAACTACAAGCAGTAGCATATGCCAAACTTGCCAGGACAAACTTACTTCTCTCTCTCAATAACTTTTTCATCCATACAAACATAATAGAAAACCAGAGAAAGATGCTTAATTGTTTCAGCATCTGTTTAAATTTTCTCTCTTTGTCTAGCTTTACACAACCACAAAATGAAATGGGCCTGAATAGAGAGAAATGGTTTCAAGGATTCACTCCGCTGACCCCAACTACTTTGGAGTTACACTTATTACTTCATTGACAGGGGCGGATCTAGTGAATAAGTTACATGTTCATTTGAACACAGTAGTTTCGGCTTAGACCCTACATATGTGTCACAAAAAATCACTAAATAAGTAAAAGTAATAGATTTGGAAGCCAGTAAATTAGATGAGATGTGGTAGAACTCCTAATTCGAACTTTATAATGCTGCATCCGCCTCTGTTGATTGAGTTATAGTTGATTATCAATTGATTGATTAACTGATTGAAACGCCAAGCCCTAATTTTGACATTTTGGACTTCTACAAATTTAAAACCCTAGAATTGCACAACAAAACAAAACAGGCCCAAATTCATCATTTAACCACAGTACTAAAACCCTAGATGCTATAAGCAATACCTTTCGTAAGGCTGTAGCAAGCTCGCCTCTTGTAAAATTAGCCGCAGCAGCCGTAGTCAACGGAATACCATTACGGAACTGGTACAACGCCACATTTTTCTGTACATACTCCGTGAACTGAGCTCTGTAATTTCACCCAAAAAATACTCAAAAACTCAACATAAATAAAAAGTTGATGGAAATCGAAAATATGATTATTGAATCTAGGAAATATAACCTGTCGCCGGCTTCACCGCTCGCTCCCATGAGCTTGTGAGAATCGAGGATCATGATTTTATCTTCGTTGGATTTGTGAACCAGTATACTGTGCACCGCGGATGAATCCGCCACCACCAGTGCAAATCCATTGCCCACCATCCCGAACACGCACTCCATCTTCTTCTAGGAAAAAGTTCTGAGGATTTCTCACACACAAATCTGAGGTTTGGTTTCGAATAAGAGCTTTGAAGGCGTCTGTCTTGGAGAACAAGCAGAGTTAAGCAGAGTTTGCTTCAATTTTGAGTTAATTGCACTTTGCTCTACATATCTTATCGTTATTATATCAAACTACCTTACATTTTTTGAAATTTAGAATTCTACTACACCAACTTTAATTTAGTTATTGTCCCTCAGTTATTGATAAAATTCTAATTATAGTTTTGTGATGTCTGACTAACCACATTTGACCTTTAATATTTGAAATGTGCGATTTTGACCCTTTTACTTGAAAATATTCATTAATTACCTGGATAATTATTCGTTCCACTATTTAGTTACTCATTTCTTACATTGAATTAGTAATGTTACTCCATATTTGAGGGTATTATAGTTCTAAATATTATAAATTACCCACATAAAGAGAAAAAAATATACACTTTAACTAGTTGAAAGTTATATATGCTGAATCCAATATCACAAGGACAAAATACAGAATTTTAAAATAACTAAGGGATCAAAATGCTAATTAATTAAAGAAAAAAACCTTTTGCTTTGACTTTAGGGGGAAAAAAAGTGTTATGAAATATTTGTCTAATATGTAGTTTCCTACCCGAAAATACAGAGTTAATAAACACTGTTTTTATTTATATTTTATCAAAATGAACAATTTAGCAGACTCAATTAATTTTTTTTGTGGAAAGAGTAGAATTTCCCTACAAAAGGAGTGAAAACAATATTAGCCTCAACAAAATAGTGAAGGATTTAGGTAGATCACTAGCACTTAATATAGTTTTTGTCATATTTTTTAAAGTGATATTCTTTCTTCCAACGTTATAGTTTTGTTGAAAAGTCCTAGATGCGGAAAAGTTATGATCAATACCATAACTCACTTAATATTTCAGAAATTTAACATTCTCAAATTTAGTATCATAATCAGATCTAATGTATGCTAATTGACTAGTTCATTTTTCTTTATAATTTCTTAATGAATGCGACAAATAGTTCATGATACGTTTTATTTTTAGAGGCAAGAAACAAGGCCCAAGTGAACGTGGAATTGCCATCAACTATCACAAACATATTGTTTACCCTCGAATCCGGATAACAATTGAATTTATATGGGGTTTTAAGGATCCGTGAACTAAAAGATACAAAAGGTTTTTAGGTTGAGGAAAAATAAAGATAAAGACTCAACAATTGCTGTTAAAGTAAATAATCGCAGAATATAATATTGCTTAGAACAATTGTGCTTGATGCCTACAAGAATTTAGAGAGATCTCCTTTTATACATTCTGATTAAGGGTAAAAATAAGGTAGGTAAATTGATTACATCGTGGATCCCTGTAATTACGCCTTAATGGCCTGAAGTGGTTGAGAAAATCACGTTTGGGCGAGATATCCGGCGACGCTTGGTTATCCGTTACGATTCCGGCTTCCGACCTTGTGTGTTTCTCCATCCGGTGGTGACTCATATCGAGCTCTGTAACGGTCTCGAAATGACTCGACCTCGGTTGTAGACGTGGCCGTCGTTCTACCTTGCATCCAGGTCGGGTTCGATGGCCCCGACTCGCTCCGGACCGGACCCAACCCGGCGGGCTCAAGCAAAAAAGGGTATCACCCAATACACATATACCTCTTTCCTCCTCTACTTTAAACCCTCATTGGACTACACAATTCCATATACAGTGGTTCCAAGGGTATAGCAATACACTTTCTTTGATTTGAAGGAGGATTTCACATGTTTATCTTTTGCACAAGCCTCACAAATTTTTTCTTACTTAGTTATGAATTTAGGCAGACTAACAACCAAGTCCTTTAGAATTAGTTTATTCATCAAAGAGAAACTTGCATGTCCTACCTTTTTTGTGCCATAACATTGAATTATTATCAAGTGCACTAGGACATGTCAGTTCAGTTTCAGGGAAGGACATAATATCACTTTTATAAATATTCTTGTGCATTTTTCCCTTAAGAACCAAGTTCCCAGAATTAAGATTAGTAACCATACATGCACCAGAAGTAAATTCTACCGTGTTCTTTTTTAACACATTTGAGACGCACTTAGCAAGTTATATTTTAGACCTTTAACATAGTGTATGTTTTTAAATATATTGGAGTGAGACTTACCAATCTTACCTAACAATGCTATTTTTTCTTACCTTTACTAAATCCCATACTCCCTCGTTGATACCCAGACACCCTCCACTTTTAAGAAGTTAGCTTTTAAGCTTGTAGCTGAAGCACACATGTTGACCCCAAGCTCCTCAAAGTGTGGCTTATATATAAGTAGAATGTATCGAGAGCAAGCACTGTCCACGTCTACATGTTCTTATTTTTCCTCATCTTAGCCTGCAAAATAATTTAGTAGTCAGTTAGGAACCCAGACTAGCTTTGATTCCTTTCTTTGAGTAAAAAGATTATCAAATTCTCTTTAGTCCATCCTGGCAACCTTACATTTTTCAACGAGAACCAGGTTTATCAACTTTTCTTTTTTTAACATATTCAATATTTTTCTGAATTGCTTTAAACATAGTAGTACATGAATCTTAAAAGTGTATGTTATTCCCGTAGCGTGTGCACAAACAACTACCAAGGATAGAGATATGAGTGATTTTAAGGTTGTACGTGGTCTTGATCTTGTTATGTCCTAATTCCTTAATATTGCTATTGTGGTTTTCATGCAAAGTGATTAATACCTCTGAGGAACTGTTTCACTTTGGAGTTTATTTTCAATTTATGTCTTGTTCAGATTTTTTTGGAGCATCCTACTTTTCTCACATTCAGCACAGAGATTAGATTTAGCCTTTTTCAATTTAATCTGTAGATTTTTTCTGAATCTCGCTAGCATGAAACTTTCCTTTATTAGGTGCATCAAGAAGCATTTTATTCTCAAGTTCTAAAACTTATTTTTTATTACCTTAGAGTGAGAACCTGGTCTTTTAGATCTTTAACAATAATTTTAAGGCTTTTCTTATTTCTAGGTCATCGTTGTCAAACCTAAGAGTTAAGAGAGGCATACATTTATGAGTTGTTCCTTTTTAGCACAAAGACTATGATATGCATCAATTAAGATCTTAGACAATAAAACTAGTTTCTTTTTATAATAAGTGTAAAAATATTCTTTAATGTCATGAAAGATTACCTTAGATTGTTCATCTTTCACATTAGAAATCTGAGTTGGCCATCAAAGGAAGAAGGTTGTCATCATCTGAGTCTATGTCATCCTTGGACGTCAAAGACCGATGCTCAACTTTTTTGTTTTGTTGTTCAAAATAGTCATTTCTTTGATTACTTTTTCAAATATTTATAATTAAATAGTTATTTATGTAATTTTTATTTAGCTTATAAATATATAATTAAAAAAAATTGGAGTAATAAGTTGATGACAGAAGCTACACCAAAATTATATTTTGATTTTGTATTCCAAACTCTATCATTTCTTTCGTGCAAAGGCGAAAGACGTTGCTAAATTATTGATCCTACTGATTCGGATGGCATTCATCCCAAAATATATACTCAACAGCAACTTTGTAGATTATGTTTAGGGTTATATAGCCAAATTTTATGTGGAAAAATAAGTTAGCTTTTAGAAAATTCATGCTTGATAAGATGACATTTACACTTTTAACCATAACCTTTTAGAATTTTAATTATTTCCAACCGTATAAAAAAAGAATCAATTAATTAAAAGTAATGCAGGCTTTTATAATGAGTGTGAGTCGATAACTTGAGAAGCAGGGGCGGATTTAGGGGGGCGCAAGGGTGTTCACCCGAACACCCTTCGCCGAAAAATTACACTGTATATACAAGGCAAAATCTGTTTTTTACTTCTATATATTAAGTTTTGAACACCCTTAACACAATCCAAAAGTGTAGTTTAGTGGTCAAGAGGATTTAAAATCTATATAAGGTCATGGGTTCAATTCCCACTAGCTACAAAAAAAAATTTCGAACCCCCTTCGTGGAGATCCTGCCTCCGCCACTATTGAGAAGTACTTTAACATATTAGAGTTGATAATGGAGTTACTATAGTAGAGAACTCCTTTTTTGTACATGTAGTGATCCTCTAAATATGCACTCCAACATATATACACTACAAATATATTATATTTACGGCGGCAGGTAACCTCCGTAACCATTAAAAAAATAGCGCCCACTAACCCCAATGTTTCCTTTGTTTTTTAATACTTTCCCTCTCTTTTTTTCCCAAATCCCTTTCTCATTTTCGCTTTTTTCATTTTCAGAAACCCTCGCCCACTCTCACTTAATCAATACCCATAGCAATATTTCATTTCTTCTTCACTTAATCAAAACCGCGACTACAGATCTCTTTTCCTTCACTTAGTCACTTCCATTTCTTCTTCACTTAATCTCTTCCATTCTTCTCCATTTCCTCTGATTTCAAGCCCGTGTAGTTGCAAAATTCCAAATACAATAGCTCTTTGCTTTTCTTCAGCGCCTCCTCTTTCTTCAGCGCCTCCTTTATTGCAAAATGAAAGAGATATGAAAGAAAACTTCAGATCTATCAATCAATTGGATGTAAATTTATTTGATTTTGCTCTTTCATACAAATTCCTCTTCGATTTTGCTTTTTTGTCTTGTCTTTCTTCATGCATTTGGGTTTTAAGTTTATTTTCTCTGTTAATTTATAGAATCGGTGTATTTTGAAGAAATTTGGTGGAATCGGTGTATTTTGAATCGGCAGAAATCTGGTAGAATCGGTGTATTTTGAAGAAGATATAACACTCTTTGTTGAAATCGAGAAGCAAGTCCTCTTTCTCCTTTTGCATTAGGTTCTAAAATTTAGATTTTTTGTGTATTTTGTAGATTAATTTCCGTAATTTGGGTCTTAATTGAAATATTTACTTTTGCAAGTGTATTTTAGAACTCCCAGGGACCTTCAGAGAAGACGCAATTGTCGCCGGCTGCTTTTCCTCTTTCTGCTCCACGTTGTATTTGGATCGGTCTCAAGGTACATTTTTTGTTTTTCTGCAGGTTCTGATTATTTCATTCAGTTATTATATCTAAAAGATGAGCTTCATCTTGTTATGCTAAACAAAAGTTCCTTATGACTTAATGGCTTAATATATGATTTACAAACTGTATAAAAGTGACTACTGAATCACACATTATTATTGACTGCAAATTCTGAACTTCTAGAAAATGTGTAACTCCAGTGAATGCAGTTTGGTCCGAAAGCTAACAGGAGACTGCTTCGTTGCCATGATGCATTTATTTTCACTTGTAACAAAATCATTGGATTCCTCTTTATTTTTATTAGCTGTTGTGTTTTTCTTGGATATGCACCTTCTTGTTTGTGTACAAAAGACAGATGCGCAGAATAATGTTCCATTTTCTCTTGATCTTCGATTCTGCCCTTTTTCTCAGTTAAAGAATTTTGTCGTTCATTATTTTTTATCGTTAACATTGAATTTAGTTAGTTAATATCTCTAAAGATGACTGCCAAACACCTTATCAAAAAACTATATGTTGTTATAAAAATAGCATGAGGAATTGTTGATCTGTAGAGTAAGCTTGAAGGCTAGATTGGCAAGGAGAATAGAGAAGCTCAATTTATATCCTTAACGAATGTGTATGATAGACAAGCAAACTCTAACAATATCATCGGTAGTTCCAACAATATCATCGGTAGTTTATCTAGAGTCTTATGTACACAACCTTACTTGGCATTTATGTACACAACCCATGATTTCCATCTTATTCTTTAACAAATATTTTCCTGTGCCATTTTTTATTATCTTACAAAATTTTATAATGTTATTGCATTGATAGGTTACTAAATCCTCTTTTCTCATGAAAATATTGTAGGTTACAATACCTTCCAAAGGATAAATCTTGGATTGGAATGCCTAGAAATACAATAAAGTATTTACTTGGTTTGAATCAATTTCTAAATTTTGCATTTAAGAAAGCTTCTATAGGAGATAGAATAAAATGTCCGTGTCCTAAATGTGGTTTTGGGAAGTGGAAGACTAGAGAGATAGTGTACGATAATTTGATTAGCAAGCCATTCCCTCAAAATTATGTTACTTGGATTCTTCATGGGAAAATAGAAGTGTTGGAGAACTCTAGAAGCACAGAGGTTATCCCAGATGCACTGCCTCCTGAAAATCTTATGAAATTGTTGATAAATGAAGTATTCCCGGGTTTAAGGCATGAGGGCATTGATGCAGGTCTGTCACAAGTAGTTGGAGAAGAAGAAACATTAAATGATCTGCCTTCTTCAAATAACAATGAATTTTTTGAGTTGCTTAGAGATGAAACTGAAGAATCATATGAAGGGTCCAAGTACTCGAAGCTAGAATTTTTGTTGAAGTTATATCAGGTACTTTGTTATCCTTTGCTTGTTCAATTCATGTTGGGCTATTATACTTTAGTATTCTTCTAATGGAAGAAAATCTTATGTATCTGTGCTATCTCACTCTGTTTTTATCTTTTAAGATTCGCAAGGAGCTGGCAAGATACTTAAAATGAAAAAAAGGCACGTGTTAAATTTATCTAATGGAGAACGCATTGTGGTTGATTTTGACGACACGGATTCTCCCATTGGTGAAGGACAAGGCATTCTTGCAGGCTTTTGCGGAATTTTAGCAACCGACTGCTCCATTTTTTCAATTCACTTTGAGAAATGGCTGGATTTACCTGTGACAATCTTCAACCGTTGTTATGATCGATTTATAAAGGTAATACTGAGGCATACAATATCTCTGTTTTATGTCATTAGATTGTATATTTGCATGTAATAATTATCTAACCATTGGTTTATTCTTGAAGCCTCGATTTTGTTTTAGGACAACTAAGTCAAATGCAAGACGATATGTTTATAATTCTATGTGTAAGAAATGGGGCGCAAAAATGCTAAAGTTGTTTGATAAGGTCTATGATCCACTTAAGAGCAGAGCTGAGATAATGGATAGTGTTCCGCTGGGGATTCCACCGGATCAATGGATTTCTTATGTTGATTACCGCTTTAAAGATAAAACACAAGTATTTATTTCAATGCTTCAATTATATGTGTAATTACATGGCTTCACTTTAACCAATCTTCATCCCTGCTAATGTTTTCAAACTTTTCCAACAACATCGACTTGACTTAAACTTAACTTTCAGATTCAAAATTCGAGATCACTTCTTCAAACTTGCCTATTTTTGCTTGAGCTTATAAATATGAATATCAACCACATGCATTTATAAATATGGACAGCTTACCAGCTAGCTCCAACATTGATACCATATAAATATCAATATCAACTACAACCACTTTTAGTATTTTGGAAAAAGAATATCCAGTTTTTATTCATGAATATACATATTTACATAATGTGTTTTCTTTTCAACTTTTAATTGCTAAGTTAAACTGTTTGATTTAAATAAAAACCAAGTACGAGTAAGTATTTACTCATATATTCTTATGCATAACATAATGAGATTGTTTGCATTCATTATATCCTAATTCCTAGGAGTAATTTAGAAGAATAAATATATTTTGGGTAAGTCAGTATTAGAATGTGAAATTACTGCAAGAGGGCTTGTACGTTTTTCTCAGTTTGAAGTTTGTATGTTTTTCTGTTGATTAAGAAGTTCTTCAGTTTGTTTGTTTGAGTGCTGAAATAATCATTTGCTTCAACTTTCCTTCCCTTATATCTTAATCTATGACGTCGAACTGAATATTGACTTGCCCTAACACATTGCTTGACAGAATATGGATGAAACAAGTATGCTATAGGTTGCTTCTTGAGCATAAAAATAGGAGCATATGTTTTGAACTTCAAACAGATGAAGACATGCCTTCATGTAAATACTAGTTTAGAATCTTTAGGACCCAAAAGAATAACTAATTAGATTGACGCTAATTGTTTGACTTTCACAAAATTGTGGTGTGAGATTCGATAATCTGTTGGTTGAAGAGTTCTGTTACACAGACACACACACCAAAAATAGAAGAAAAAATAAAAAAGAGGAGAGATGTAATTTCTGAATAAATTTAGAAAGGCAGATACTAGCATCAAAGATGATACTCCTATATTGTTATCATATATTTATGTTACTCCTATAATGTTAGCATATATTTAGGAAGATAAATTCAAGTGAACCTCAAGGAATAACTGATTTTGGATCTATGTTTTGTTGATTTAATTAGCTTAGCTTTTTTATGTCAAAGAGATTAGGACAATTGTTTGGGTCAATTCTTCAAACTAATAACTCACAATAAAAGTGGTGGATTATTCTGTGATTTTTTTGGGTATCTTTTTGTAAGGAAACTTGTAAAAGAAATGCTGAAATCGGAAGATACAAACTATTTTACATATCGGTGGCTCCAAACCTAACTCCAGAAGAAGGGCTGAAATGGTAATAATTCATTTTGGATACTTTAATTAAACTAGCAACTATTCCTAGTTAGTTAAGTTAATGCGAATTTGACCTTTTCATTTATAGATAGATGGTTGAGACTGGACAAAAGCCTGGACGAGAATAGCTTTATCTCTATCACGACACAAAACCCGACCCGTCGTGATGACGCCTATCGTGAAACTAGGCCAGCCTCAACTCAACAATCAACCCGATAATAATAATTTTGAAAACATTTACGGAAGCTATTAACAGTTAAAGAACTATTTGAAACATAAGAAATTCCAAGAATAAATACAATCCAACCCAAAACCGGGGTGTCACTGAGTGCATGAGCGTCTAAGGAAAAATACATAGTCTCATATAATGTCTAAGGGAACAACTGAAATACAACTGGAAAGTAAGGTGGAGAGCCAAGGCCTGCGAATGCCGTGCAGGTACCTCAATAATCTTCTAAGTCAGAAGCCTCGATCAAACATCCGCCGCTGGATCCCAAGTGCCTGAATCTGCACACGAGGTGCAGGGGGTTACGTGAATATACCAACTCAGTAAGCAACAAGTCCAACCTTTGGACTGATAGGTAGTGACGAACTCAACCTCCTCAAGGATAACAGAAATAATGTACAGAAACGTAGGCATGCTTTCAGTTAAATAAACAGCTCGAATAGTACAACAGAGCAGGTATGAACAAGGTAAATGAGTGTAACTCTGCTACATCTACATGTCAATGCACATGTTGTATGGAATGCACCATGCTGAGTGCCTCATGTGCCCACAACCTCAAATGCTCGTCCACACAGTACTGTATATGGCTCATACGGCCCAGGGAATATCCATCCCGGAATATATACATCTCTGACAGCAATCACTCAGTACCGAGGAAGGCCATTCCAGCCCGCGAAGAAGATCCATCTCCAGATAATAGCAATAACAAACTCACAACCACTCGGTACTATATATAGCTCACAAGGCCCAGGGAAGATCCATCCCGGAATATATACACATCACTGACAACAGTCATCCAGTACCGAGGAAGGCCATTCCAGCCTATGGAGAAGATCCATCTCCAAATATAAATACTTCGGACAAGATCCATGTGCAGGGAAGATCCATCCCTCAATATTATCAACTGCGCTCATTGGGGGTGTAAAGACTCCGGAGGGGCTTCTCTCTTTAGCCCAAGCGCTATAACAAAGCCAACGAAGGCATGTTCAATATCTCGCTGCGGCGTGCAGCCCGATCCCATACTATCACTCAATATTAGGCTCTCGGCCTCACTCAGCCATCACTCTCCAGTCTCACACACACGGCTCAAAATGTCATGATACTAGCCGAACAATGATATGATGTGTCAAATAACAATAATCGAGACTGAGGCATGATATAATATGCATGAATAGGACTGAGTACAGAATATCAATGAAGCGAATGATATGACAGCAAGAAACGACCTCTCGGGTCTCAACAATATTGGCGTGAAGCCGTAACATGATAATTAGCATGATTTCCAGCTCATAAACTTAATCACATAATTACAACACAGACATCAGCAAGAACGAGTCACTAAGCGGGGCCATGGAATGATCCAGGTCGCAATTTTTACGGTGCACGCCCATAAGCCCGTCACTTGGCATTTGTGTCACCTCAATAGTACTCATAAAACACATAGTTTGGGGTTTCGAACCCTCAGAACCAAGTTTGGAAGCGTTACTTACCTCAAGCCAAGCCAAACTCTAGCCCGCGACGCCCCAGCCTCTCGATTCGGCCTCCAAATGCCCCGAATCTAACCAAAATCAGAACCATAACATCAATATATGCTAAGGGAACAAAGCCCACGCAAAAACAATCAAATTACATCACAAATCCCGAAATTGGTCAAATCCGACCCCCGGGCCCACGCCTCAGATTCCAATAAAAATTATATCACTAAGATTCTTATCCTCCCACGAGTCTACACATACCAAGAACATCAAAATAGGACCTCAAATGGCCCCTCAAATCACCACTAAAAGCTCTCCAAAACTCAAGCCCTAATCCTCCATATTAGGCTTTAAATCCCACTAATTTCATGATTAAACAATGGAAAAATCATCATAAACACAAATAATAGGCCCAAGTAACTTACCCCATTGAAAATCCTTGATTCCTCTTGAAAATCACTGCCCAAAGCTTAAATCTCGGTCAAAAATGGTGAAGAATGACCAAAAATTCGCGAAGGAGCCTTTATATACACTCTGCCCAGGACTTCCGCATCTGCGGCACCCATTACGCATATGCGGAGCCGCATCTGCGAAAAAATTCTCCGCTTCTGCGAATTTCATTAAAGGCACTTTCGCTTCTGCGATTGCCTGGCCGTACCTGCGGTCATCGCAGATGCGGGGACCAAACCGCACCTGCGATTCTGCGGACCTCGCACCTGCGGTCCCCAATCCGCAGGTGCGGAAATAACAGGAACAGCAAAATCTGCAGCACAACTCAAATTCCAAACTTCCCGTCAACCGCTCAAAACCATCCCGAGGCCCTCGGGACCTCAAACAAACATACCGACAAGTCACATAACATCATTCAAACTTGATCCAACCTTCGGAATCCTCAAACAACATCAAAACATCAAATCACCCTCGAATTCAAGCCTAAGGATTCCAAAAACTTCCGAATTCGATCAAAAGTCTATCAAACTTCGTCCGAATGACCTAAAATTTTGCACACACGTCCCAAATGACACCACGGACCTACTCCAACTTTCGGAATTCCATTACGACCCCGATATCAAAATTTCCACTACCAACCGGAAAGCGCCAAAATTCTAATTTTGCCAATTCAAGCCTAAATCTACCACGGACCTCCAAATTATATTCCGAATATGCTCCTAAGTCCTAAATCACCTCACGAAGCTATCCGAATCATAAAAAACTAAATTCCGAGATCGTTTACTCACAAGTCAACTTTTGGTTGACTTTTTTCAACGAAATGGCCAACTTAAGAGACTAAGTGTCTCATTCCTCCACAAAACCACTCCGAACTCGAACCAACCAACCCGATACCATATAATACAGCTGAACAAGACATAAAGAAGCAGAAATGGGGAAAACGGGACTGAAATTCATAAAACGATCGGCCGGGTCGTTACAATCTCACTACACATAGGAATAAAGATGATCATATGTTAATGAGGCGGCAAAATAGATATGTGTAAGATAGCTTTTATGGAGCCCTAATAATTGCTATTAGTCTTCTTTGTTGATATTTAACTTATCTATAAGTTATTTATTCTCTTATTTAGACATTTCATTCGCAAAAGTTTGATATCAGTTAAGGAACACCTTCCCCAATCTCATATTCTTGATATTGGAATTACAATATAGAACTGTCAACATCAGGAATTACAATAGAGTTTCAAGGCAACTAGCATGTGTAAGTAGGCTAAAGATGGCTGCTTATGAATATGGAAAATGAAGTACCTATTCTGCTAATGTTTTATTTTTTAGCTAACTTGTCAATCACTGATTGAAGTAAGGACACTAGCTTTTGGTGTGTAATGTGTTTAGGAAAAAATTGAACTAGCATTGACCCAAGGCACAGTGGATGAGTCTGAAATTTAGCCAAATGATGATGTTGGTAAGGTGTTGGGAAAAGAGCATTCTGGAAGAGTAAGGTGCTTAGGATTAGGAGTTGTTCCTAGCAGAGCTTTTAGACAAACAAGACCTCGTTATAGTGATTTAAATGCTTCAAGTTATAATAATGGTTCACGTTCTTCCCAATGCCAAGAGAAATACAATCAAATGTTGAATGCTCACAATCAAAGCCAAGAGAACTACAGAGAAATGATGAATGTTAACACTCAAATGATGAATGCTAACACTCAAATGATGGATGCTAACACTCAAATGATGAATGCTTTTAAGGCGTATATGATAATGAAAGAAGGGAAGATACCTGAAGAATTTGCAGGGATATTTGTTTCTCCTTCACGTTCAACGATAAGAATAGTTCATAACTTTCTTATTTAATTTTGTAAAGAATGATTGTTCAGTCCAAGTATTATTAGTTATAGGATTGTTGAGGTACTTTTTGTTAATTATATTTTCTTTTGATTGTTTTGTAGCCAAGTGATGCGGCTAGCGGATCCATTTCACCCACGGATATAAGAAGATCATCCGATGGAAGTAATCCTAACGACAACCATTGAAGTTGCTTGCAAATGTATTAGATAATTAAGTATAGTACTTGATTGAATGGTCATAGTAGATCTTTTGTCCATAATGGTTGGAGTGGATGTTATGTTTAATGTGAGTTTTAAGACTAATTATAATATTGATGTTTTGTGTTTAATGGTTGGACTAGATGTGTTTAAAGCAAATTTTTGAGACTAATGCTAATTTACTTTAATGTATTTTGTGGTTTATTAATATATTGATGTTACTTGATTCCAGTATGCAATTTATATAATTTGTTGATGCTTCATTATATTAATATAGTTGAAATTAGAACAGTTATGGAGTAACATTATATTGCAGGATAAAGAATATTCAATGAACAGCGGAGGTTATAATTGCCGCTATTTAACCTATACTAATATTGTGTTATAAAATTTGTAGGGGTTAAATAAAGAAATTGTGGGGGGTTTAGACCTCCGCTATTTTTTTAATAAGTGACAGCCAAACTACCAAATTACGGGGGTTATACCGCCGTCAAATACCCGTGGCTATATGATAACTGCGGTCTGTCAGAAAACTCCCGCAAATTGGTTGCGGCGAACATTATTGCGGGGATTACGGAAACCGCCGTAAAAGTATATTGCGGAGGTTTTTGACCGCCGCAATATGTAAATAAAACCTCTCTAAATTTAGCATTTTTTTATAGTGATACTAGTAATCGTTGTAATAGTAATCAAAGTAGTTCTAGCAATGTGGTGCCCCCAGCACCACACTCTCTGTAACAACAATATTTAATAGTTCATGCAATATTATCCTTGTTACCAAAAAAAAATATATTAGAGCTGGTGAAATTGTCGCAAAAATCCCTTTACAGTGTTATTATATAAGTTAGATTCCTTTTATATGGTAAGAGAGTTTATTGCCAAAACAAATATATTATTGTATACGGCTAAAATCGGAGAGTTCGATTTTTACGATCGTCGTGGCATTCCATAGCCCGTCTCCAGAAGGTTCGAGGCGCAGCTCAAGGTTCAACCCCGAGGGTTTCTTAGCTCGACCTCGGGGCAGAACAAATCGGTGGCTACCATGGAAAAGCGGGAGGTTTCCAAGGCACGTGACCAAAGCTGACAATACCTACAAGAGTAGTACCAGTCTGTACCAGACAAGTAAATAGCTGTACCAGCTGCGAATCTTTGTAATAAATGTGTATGTACCATATTGGGATTCCCCCTCCTATATAAAGGGGACCCTTGTCATTTTGTAACACACATGATATTGAAAACAAGAAAAAGAACATTCGCTGTTCTCTAACTTAAACATATTCTCCCTTGATTTTATTGCTTACATTTATTATCTTGCTTACATTTATTGCGTTTCTTGTGTTTCATTGATTGTTCTTCATTTATTACTCATCATTGATCATAAAGAGCCCCAATCAAAGCTCTTAGAACTGTTAGTCCTTCATCGGATGTACGCAGTCCAACGCCCTAGCCCGACCTCGAGGCCCCGTATAGGCTAACTCGAGACCCTGACTTTCGGTCACTCGGTTTGCTTGTCACGCTATCTTCAAGCTCTTATCTTATTTTCTAGTCTCACACTTAGCATCTACTGCTTAACAACTAGCATAAAAATAAATCACGTATTTTTAGAACCACAAAATCAAATCTAATTGTAATTACCATTTTCAAGGTAAACAGTTTGGCGCCCACCGTAGGGCTAAAAATAATAGTGGTTGTTTTCGTGCTGGTTTACTGAATAACGCAAGTTATCTTTCACGCTTTTTCTTGTCCTAGAATCTTTGATTTCAGGTCAAAATGTCTAACTCAGTGAATGCACATGAGAACAACGGTCCTAAGGACCATGGAGAGAATGGTGTAGCTGTTCCAGGCATCGGTGTACAACCATGAAACCCTGAGGATGCACCAAAACCAATTCCCATGGACGTGGTCTCGCGCAACGCCCAACACGTCGATATAAGCTCCCACACTAACAGGAGTATACGCCAAGAAAACCAACAAGAAGCTCAGAAAACCCCAGGTCGGGAGGAACGAGAGGTTAGTCTTCACGTCATTTTTGAGATGTTGCAGGCACAACAGCTAGCGATTGCTCAACTGCAAAGCCACCAAAAAAAATCCGAGCACAGCAGCACCGGAAACGGCTCCTCGAGCCGAACAAGTACCAGAAAGATCAAGCAACAACGGGTCAGCAGCCGACCCCGCTATCATAAAGATGCTCGAGGACCTCACAAAGAGGATTAAATCGGGCCAAAAGAAGATAGAAGCCAATGACAAAAAGGTGGAGACCTACAATTCAAGGATCGATCAGATCCCAGGCGCACCCCCGGTTCTGAAGGGTGTAGATTTAAAGAAATTTGTACAAAAGCCATTCCCGTCAAATGCTGCTCCAAAGCCCATCCCGAAGAAATTCAGAATGCCTGATCTCCCGAAGTACAACAGAACCTCGGACCCCAACGAGCACATCACTGCTTACACTTGTGTTGTAAAGGGGAATGACTTGAAGGACGACGAGATTGAATCCGTCCTATTGAAGAAATTCGGAGAAACACTTTCAAAAGGGGCCATGATGTGGTATCACAACCTAGCCCCGAATTCAATAGATTCATTTGCCGTGCTGGCAGATTCTTTTATAAAGGCACACGCCGGTGCCATTAAGGTTGCTACAAGAAAATCCGACGTCTTCAAAATCAAACAAAGAGAAAACGAGATGCTGCGGGAGCTTGTATCTCGCTTTCAAATGGAGCGAATGGAATTACCACCAGTCTCCGATGACTGGGCAGTGCAGGCCTTCACCCAAGGTTTGACGAACGAAGCTCGGTGGCTTCAAAGCAACTGAAGCAGAACTTGGTTGAATATCCTGCCGTAACTTGGTCGGATGTACACAACCGATATCAATCAAAGATTAGGGTCGAGAACGACAAACTAGGAGCCCCCTCAGGCTCAGTATATCCTAGAAGGCTCTTGGAAAAGGAACCAAGGCCGAACAAGGAATGGTATCAACTATACACGGAAGATCGAAGAAACGCCCCAAGGCGTAACATACCCCGAAATGACCGAAAGATAGATTGAGGTCAGAATTCTCAGGGACTCGTGAGCAGGGCCGGATTTGACAGACATACAGGACCGACGGAGGCACCCCGATTGTCTGAGTACAATTTCAACGTTGATGTTTCGGACATCGTATCAGCCATCGCTAAAATCAGAGACACCAGGTGGCCAAAGCCCGTACTATCAGATCCGTCCCAAAGGAGACCTAACTTATTGTGCGAATTTCACGGAACACACGGTCATAGGACCGAAGACTGCAAACAACTCCGAAAAGAAGTAGCCCGACTAATCAACAAAGGGCACTTCCGAGAGTTCCTCAGTGACCGAGCCAAGAATCAATTTCGGGAAAGAGAAGCAAACAGGAAAAATGAAACAAATGAGCCACAACATGTCATCCACATGATCGTTGGAGGAATTGACATCCTGCAGGAACCCATTGTCAAAAGAACAAAAATATCCATCACCAGGCAGAAGCGAACTCGAGGTTACATACCCAAGGACGATCTCACATTCAGCGACGAGGACATCGAGGCCCTGTCTCAGCCTCATAATGACGCATTGGTAATTTCTTTTCTTGTAAATACATTTCAAATTAAGCGTGTGCTTGTGGATCCAGGCAGCTCGGCCAACATTATCAGGTCGAGGGTGGTAGAGCAGCTGGGACTGCTCGACCAGATCGTGCCCGCCTCTCGAGTCCTCAACGGATTAAACATGGCGAGCGAGACAACAAAAGAGGAAATCACCCTCCCGATCAACGTGGCCGGCACAACCCAAAATGTCAAATTTCATGTCATCGAAGGAGACATGAGGTACAATGCCTTACTCGGAAGGCCATGGATACACTGCATGAGAGTAGTACCATCAACCCTTCACCAAATGATGAAGTTCCCAACAAAGGACAGAATAAAAACCGTATACGGGGAGCAACATGCATCAAGAGAGATGTTCGCGGTACACGATGTGGCACCAACATCGATGCCTCCAACATCGAAGGAACCAAATGATAAGCAAACAGTGAAGTTGCAATCACAAGCTACATTCTCGGCTACACCCGAATAAATGAGCAAAGGACCGTACCGCGTCTCTGGAGCAAGCGCTGAAGCATATCGAGGCTTGAAGCGCCATCTCCACTAAGGTATAACCGTCTCTCTTTTTATTTACATCTTACACTAACCTATGTGCAGGAGTCCGGTTAGAACAATCGAAGCACTTTCCATCTTGAAGACCTTAGGTTTTAAAGCATGCGTTGCACTCTTTTCCTTCGATCGGATTTTATCCCAAGAAGGGTTTTACCGGCAAGGTTTTTAACGAGGCAACATCTATATGCTACATAAGGAGAACTTAAAAAGTATTCAAGGCTTCTCTTCAATCAACCTCGAATACTGGGGGGCATCCCTCTGGGGGATCACCCCCTCGAAAAAGTCAAGATGAGCCAAAAAGGGTCTCGATAGGAAAATGATGCATCGGGCCAAACGGTCGAATAAACCGTGTCCGCATAGAATAATTAAACCCTTGACGACGAAAACATGTATACTTGTACCAAGTAATCAAAGGAATATCTTCTACCATCAAAACGCCCCACGCTTCAAAGAAGTTTGCTATATTTACAAGAAACGGCCCCAGAGCTAGAAATTTCTCGAACACTCGGGGACTGACATTAAAAACTCGAAGCCGTAAGACCTACGGGCCGGAAACTTCGAGCTCGTAAGCCCTCAGTGAGGCAACAACAAAATATACAAAGAACGGCTCCAGAGCCAAAAACTCTCGATGTCTCGGGGACTATCGCCGACGGTCACCCCATCAAGGTATCAAGAATCCAAGGCCATAAGACCCCATGTGGGTGACCTCGAGCCCGAAAGCCCTCCCCGTGGCAATGTTAGAAAATGTATGACCTCCACGAAGCGTTATCAACAGTGTAAGACCTCCATAAGGCAATACCTATCTGTAAGACCTCAACCCAGGCATGAGTCATACTTGTACCAAGGATTTGTAAGACCTCAAGCAAGGCATGAATTATACTTGTGCCA